TACTTCGATGATCACTGTAGCAGTTCCGCCAGGAGTTGTGGTGTGAGTGACTGTGGTCGTCAGGAGGCCAGTCCAGGTTTGAGTAGTAGTGACTGTTGGAATAGGTACATCGACCTCAATGGTTTCAGTATTTCCTGCTGCAGTATTATATGGTAAAGTGGTAACCCTGGTAGTGGAACCTGTCCAGGTTTTGGTGGTCACAATAACTTCGTTACCATTGGAATCAGAACCAGATAAACTATATGCACTGTATGTGATGGCCTTTCCCCCGTTAATTTTGGTTCCCCCTGAACAAGTCATAGTATCTGTGAAAGTCACTTTTAATGTGCTCTTGGTATTGATAGTAGACAACCCATCCATGAACACCCTGTAACCCGCAGGTACATTAGTAAAACTTACCACATATCCACTAGTACTACATGTTCCAGTAAAGGTGAAGTCTTCGTATGATTTCACAGCAAGAAAGTCATTCCAATCATTGGTTATACCAACATGGTAAGAGGAACAGTCGAAATCATTGGTAGACACTTGGATACCAATCAGACCTGAAGTAATTCCGTTCGCACAGTATCCACCCAAAATATAAATTTGGTTTTTGTTGATGCTTGGGTTGGTTCTCACTTCGGTAAAAATGGTATTTGAAGCAGTATCCTGTTGAGAAACCGCCGTGAAAGTTTGGGTTAAAGCGGTATCGCCATCATAAAAGGTGGCTGTATTGGTCCCCGCTGAAAAACAAGTGGAATCAGTCAAGTCAACCGAAGCACCACCTAAACCGGAGTTGAAGGTGAATGGGAATGAAGCAGTTCCATAAACATTGGTGGACGAAGTTACAGAACTAGACGCCACACATGAAATGGTTGAGTATGGAACAACCAATTCACCGGGGCCATAGGTACAAGTTGCATAGGTTGTTGAACCTACCTTCAAGTCAAAGGTGGAAGAAGAGTCTGTGAACTTAAACACACACTCCAAGGTCAAAGTGAAGGTATCTCCAGCGGTAACAGAGGCACCAGAGATGGCCCACCCAACCGTGGCCACCCAACTTGGACTCTCTGGTACTTGGGAGTAAGAACTAGAAGCTGACTGCCAAACAAGACTGTCGAAGGATGTAAAGATCCCAGTAACCAGTTTTGCAGCAATAAGCGTACAGAGAAAAAGAACGCTTGTGAGGACTTGGATCTGCATCTATTGTTTGGTAGTTTTAGACTCTAAGTCAGGGACCTAAGATTATATATAACCATTTACCCTGCTGGAATATGGCTTTCTGGAAACTTAGTTTCGGGTTAGGAGCTTACTGTGCAAATGCATGTCAGAAAGATTTGCAAAAAAATAAATACAAAATAACTGCATAGTGACACTGAAAAAATACCGTTTCGGTTGACGGTTGAAAGGTGCATGCGTAATAATGGCTTCGCCTATGTTAAATCAAGCCTATGTCTCGTACTGGTAATAGATGATCAGCTTAGTGATGGTTTTCACTTATGCTGGACTAGTTAATATTAACAAGTTTTATATTTTGTAAAATATTAACTGTTGAACGGATTCTGCATTGGAGCCTTGGACACTCGCTAGCACAGCAATACGAAATAACTCCTTTGTAAACAAAAGGTTAACATGAAATATGCATTCTCCCGCGGCTTCCAGAAGCCTGCAACAAAAAAAATATTTCTTTAACGAGTATAATGGATCAGCATCTTATGCATGTCCTGCAGTGGGGCAAACTTGAACTCAAGGTTTCAAGCGTTGCCAAGGGAATATGGCGTGGTCCTTATCTTCTGATTGGTGAGGTTTCCCAATAAAGATTTTGTCTAAACCTTAGAAAATTAAATTAGGAGCCCATTTGGAGTCTAATTGTGTAGGGACTGCGACACAGTTCAAGATGACTTCTGGTTCTACCAATGATCGCCAACCGAAACGGCCATGCATAATCTCAAAGCCGGACATCTGGGATTAGCAGAGCGCCGTGTTGCACAATACCTGGACTGTGGCAGATATAATTATCGTCATCAACAGTAAAAACCGTAGGCACAAGGCTCAACTAGTTGACCCCAGATAGGAGAACCCCTATTGCCTTGAAGGAAATAGGCGCCAAAGCACATACACCAAACCTTAGTTAAGCGGATTTGCATTTACTAAAAAAAATCCCACAACATGAAAATCAGAGATTCTGGCCAGCGATGCGGCCCACCTCAACCTCAAACACCAATTTCATGTAATTTCACCACCAACGACGATGGCTGGTGCGCAGTTTTTGCGGCCCGTGGAACTAGCAATCAGAGATTTGCCAGGCGTACATGTGAATGGTTTCAGGTTAATTATGGAAAACGCTTGTATCGCAGACCATAACTGTCCGAAAACCCATGAAAATTGGTAACTCTAAATCGCATATTGCCCTCTTTAGTGATGCGATCGCCTTTCTGCGGCGATAATTCCAAATGGTGTTTAAAATGGGTGATAAAAAATAAGGGTGAACAGGCCATAAAATGGTCTCACGATCCACATTTGAGAGTTTTAGGTACTTGAACCTTGGAGGTTCGGTGGTACTGTGAAATAAAATTGGTATTTTCAGAAATGAATATACGACAACTGTCATTGACCGCACCCTAAGCTCCGCGAGCCATGCTATGAGGCGTGCGTTTGCCTCCTTTTCCACTATTCAGTTCATTTATCTATGCTGAAACTTGGTTTGTACTTTTGGGTATACGTATCAAAACTGTTCTAGTCATCCACAAAAACTCCTTCCACCGCCTCAACGTAGTCCCTCTATCCTAGAAGCATAATTCGAGGCGTGCGTGTGCTTTCATTGCCATAATCCAGTTGATTGTCGATGATTTGCAGAGTAAAACTTACTTCGTATTTTTGGATATGCGTGTCAAAAAATCTCTAGTCATCCACAAAAACTCCTTCCACCGCCTCAAGCGTAGTCTCTCTACCCTCGAAGTATAATATGAGGCGTGCGTGTGCTTTCATTGCCATAATCCAGTTGATTGTCGATGATTTGCAGATTTAAAGTTGGTTTATACTTTTGGGTATACGCCTGAAAAGTGGTCTAGCCAGCCCAATAGCCACCTCTTCACCTCAAACCTATTCCCGTCATCTCCGGCAGATCCTTTACAACCTGCCTTACCCCCTCCGTTTCTTTTCGCTTACCTGCATGGGTTTTGCAACTATCTCCGTCCAGCGCGCACTTTATTTTACTCTACAACCATGGATAACCGCATACGATCAATATCAATTTCCAGTCTTAAACACGATCCCGAAGATGTCCCGCTTGTGGAATCAGGTCGCTCGCCGTCCTGGCTCTTGAGCGAAACCCTACAAAACTTCTCCATCAAAGATAAAGATGCTCCCGATAACTTCAACCAAATCATCATCGATAACAGTAACAGACTTGTCGAATTGTTTACACAATATCCCAGCATCAAGGACGACTTGATGCTCCAAACAATCATCAACAAGATCAATTTCATGTTCTATAGCGATGTGCCGCAAATCAAGGCCTGTGGATACAAGATCTTGAAGTACTGTATTGCCAACGAAGACTCCCTATACATATTGGTGCAAAACAGAATTCTTATTTATTTGATCATTACCCTCTCCACCGACCTGTCGTCGGACTTGGAAAAGATATACGCCATCAAGTTGATATACAGGTTTTTGGAGGTGGAAAAAGGCTCCAGTTATTTGTCAATGGGGGTTATCAAGGCCCTAATGCATTTGCTCGATGACGATTTGTTCATCATCAGCAACGATCTCAAGCATTTGATCATGGAACTCATGTTGGAGGTGTCAGTGCAAAACCCCCAGCTCATCTTTCATGCTGGGGGATTCAACGTACTTATTCGGATCTTGAGCAGCAGCTCTAATATTGTCATTCTGATGAATTGTTTGATTATCATCATCAAGTTGCTCGAAATCGACGAGTTCAGGCAGTTTTTCCGGAACGGTTATAATCTCAACAGCTTACTCTCGTTATTCGATGAAGAGCTGTTGGGACAGGCTACTCGGCAGAAGATCCAAAAATTCCAGAAGGTCTCATTTTTGTTGACGATATTCTTAAAAAACTGGAATGGGTTGATCTGTTGCTCTTTGAATAACTTCCAGGTACTAGGAAACCTCATCAACCATTTGGACGGTACAGATACCAAGTTGAAAGAGTTTGTGCTCGATATTTTGTTGGATGTCTTGGGTGTGAAATCGCTTCTGTGGTTGAAGAATTCGGCCATAGGCGAACTTCTTGTGAAATTCAATCCCAAGGCGACCTTCATCTATGATTCTTCTGAAGATGACTCAAATGAAAGTGACACCCATATAATTGCCCATTATATGAACCATTACAAAGGTTTGTTAACATTTGTTCTCATCAAACTAAACTTAGTCGAGCGTTTGATAACAAACTTGGACACTGCCCTTAATGACAAGGTAATTTTACTTTTGTCTAACTTGTTCAAGTTCAGCAAGATGTACCTTCCCCCAGATTTGAATTTGGACTTTTCAAACAAAATCACCCTCAACTCGTTGATTAAAATCAGCAATTACAACTTGAACTCCGATTATCAAAACACCAGAATTCCAGCAAAAATGTTAAACTTAACCCCTTGTATTCCTAAAGTCGAAGAAGCAGACTTTAAGGGTATCATTAATGGTACAAAGGTATTGACAATAAAAGAATTTGGGAGTTGGGACTGGGACTTGATTCTTTTAGTGTTTGAAGGACCCATGACTAACGAAAAAAAGTTTGTGGACATCATGGATAAGCAACCCAAATTTTTCAAACGTCTATTGAGTTTCTACAGACCTTTCAAGTTCCGGTTTTGCAACTTGACAATAAAAACAAAAGATCACAGAAAAATCTTGTTGGTTGGTACCTTAATCTTTGAAATTTTGACAAGGTTCTCGAATGGATTAAAGTATCTTTACAAAAACAAGATCATGATTCAAATTTCTGAGATCTTTGCCCAAATCGACCCTTTAAGTGGGATTGTAGCGAGAAACCCAATATTAAGCGAGAAGAACTTATTGCAAACATTAAACATAGGATACTTGAAGTTCGTGGGTAAACTCAGTGAATCTGAGAATGGCCTTAAATTACTTAATCAGTGGCAGTTCTTCCAGATTATTGATAATATCATCGAAACTAGTGCAGAATCTAAGGCCAACAATTTCTTTGTTTCGTCATTGTTTAGATACTTGAAATTTGACACATACGTGACGAAGAACTTGGTGTTCAAAGTGTTAGCTGTGTCCAATCGGCAACTCAAGATGAAAGTTATTGAGTTTCTTCCGACTTATAACTTGGGCACTTCCGCCACTTTGAAGCTTATATGTTTCAATATGTACCAGAAGGAATTTTCAGAGAGTCTAGTTAACTACCTTTATGAGTTTTATTCAAAGGATAAGGACTCGAACATATTAAGGCTGACATTAAAGTTCAACCCATCTATCTCCATACTCTCCAAATTTCCCAAAGGAGAGGCATTGCTCAACGAATTTCTATTAATTCCAGAAGGGTTTACATATTTATCCAAATTCGACTACGTCAACACCCACTTCAACTCATGGCTTAATGACAAGCAATCGTTCAAAATTGTCCAGTTTTATGAATATAAGTTGAATAAGAAGATGCTCCCTTATTTCAATGTCATTGAACCAGTGGAATACAAATTCTTCTTGAAAAACTTGTTGGACACCAGAGAAGGGTTGAACTTCTTCCAGTCGTATAACTTTGAAACAAACTTCATTGAAGAATTCACGAAGCTGATTCAGACATGTCTTGACAGAGTCCTTAGGAAGGACACGTTAACTGATACCGAACTTAGAGAGTTGAAGCAAAACTTATGGATTCTCGGGGAGATAAACACCTCCAATTTTGGTATTCAGTTAATCCCATGGGAGTTTTTCGAAAACTTTGTTGAATCGTTCATTAAGTGTGATAACTGGGTCATCAAAGGGATGTTGTTTTATCAGATTGGAATGCTTTCGTTGAATAGTGAAGGAATCGAAGTTTTGGATGAATCCAACTGGGTCATTAAGTACAATAAGTTCAACAAATTTGCCAACTTCAGCTACCCCAAAGACTTAAGCTTGAACCTCTTTAACAACACATTCACATCCACTAGGTTTAGCAAACCAGACAAGTACCAGTTCCACAGTACAGATGATCTTTCGGAGGAGGAAGCACTTGTGGTTGAGCTCATCTTCAAGTTCCCATCGGACTTGGTCAAATTCAAACAACCTGTCAAAGAATTGATGTATCTCAAGAAGAACCACTCATACTTATTTACATATGAGCTTTTCATGAAGTTGATCAAGCTAATTGACAACTCCAGTTTCAACTTCAAGAAACGCAACTTTATCTTCAATCTTTTCATGGAAGATACAAACTTATTGGAGCTTTTGAGCAAGAAAAAGAAATAGAAATAACGAAAATAACGACTGATGAACCCAAAATTAATGTACATTTATAACTAATCACCACCCACTACTTCTCAATCTTTTCTAGCTTTTTCTTCTTTTTTCCCCCCATGTTGACGTGATTGTTCAAACTGGTATTCAAATTATCGAGAATATTATCCGGTTTTTTCAACCGATTATTACTAAAGTAGATCGGTTTGAACCTGGATAGCACCAAGTTGGAATAGTTTCTTCGTAACCAGAACTCGATATCTTCAGGATTCTTTTCGATATTCACCAGATCGTCGATTTGAAAGTCAGAGATAGATTCATCCAATAAAAGACTAAGCTTGAGCTTAGTGCTTACTTTTGCAGAATCAATGTCTTTCAACACCTCCAAGTCCTTCAAATTCGGGTTGAGTTCAACCACATTCTCAATTCTTGCCTGAAGCTCTTTGTCGTCCACTGGAGCCGGTTCTGACTCTGCTTCAGCTAGTATATCCAAAAGAGCATTATTTCGTCTTTTGTAGAAGTTCAAAAGCTCTCGCTGTCCGCGCTCTTCGGCAAACAATTTGGACAGCCGGTTGTACTTGGCTAGAAACGCCTCCTGAAGACGATTGTACACCTTGCTGATGTCGCCCTCATTGATTTCAATCTCCTTTTCAAGAAGTTCGTCAAACAGAGACTCTTCCTTCATGGTGGTTCAAAAGTTGAAAAGTTCGCACGGTGCGAAACTGAAACTTCACCTAAACCAACGCGTCTATTCCCCCAGCAATGTCGATAGTATCGTTATTAGGGATTGAAGTATTGAATAACCCTGCCAAGTTCTCGGACCCGTACGAGTTTGAGATCACATTTGAGTGCTTGGAACCGTTGAAGGATGACTTGGAGTGGAAATTAACCTATGTGGGCTCGTCGCGGTCGTTGGATCACGACCAAGAGTTGGACTCAATTTTAGTCGGACCAGTGCCGATCGGTGTCAACAAGTTTGTGTTCCAGGCGGACCCGCCATCGCCGGAGCTCATTCCCGCCAGTGAGTTGGTGAGTGTAACGGTGATTTTGTTGAGCTGTTCGTATGCTGAAAGAGAGTTTGTCAGAGTTGGATACTACGTGAACAACGAGTACGACACGGAAGAATTGCGGGAAAACCCGCCGGCCAAAGTGCAAGTGGACCGTGTGGTACGGAACATCTTGGCCGAAAAGCCTCGTGTCACCCGGTTCAATATCGTATGGGATAATGAAGGTGCTACCGACGAGTATCCACCAGAGCAACAGGTGGATGAGGATGAAGACGACGACGAAGACGAGGAAGACGACGGCGATGAGGAGGTCGACGACGATGATGTCGAGACCGTCAACGACAAAAAGGATGAAGATGAGGAGGAAGACATTGAAGAAGATATAGAGGATGAGGAGGAGGAAGACATCGACATCGAGGAAGGTGAGCCCGCATCCAAAGCCGACGACGAAGACGAGCCCGCGTCCAAAGCCGACACTCCGGTGGACGCATAGCACTGTAATATATCATAATAATACAATTGTACCGAGCAGTAGTAGTTGTGCGCATTTGGTTGCAAAATTGTTTCTTATTCGTGTCTCATAATCTATAGTCTATAGTTGTTCCCACACTGCGTTCAAACAGCTGGAAACCGCATGAATAACGTCACGGTCTTCATGGGTGCTTACCCATCGGTCTGGATGCCATCGCAACCGTTCTTTTCGTACTAGTTCGGTCAATGTCTCATCTTTAAGCCGGATAAATTCGTAGAACCCAAGCACCGATTCCGCCGAAATCGCCTCGAGAATCTCTGCCTTCAGCGACGGCACATTTAGAAGCGGCACCTGGAAGCTTGCCATGTATTTGCGGCGGATCTCAAGACGGTTTTCCTTGGGGTCTTCTGGAGGTGCACAAAGATACGGATCTGTGGCACGAGGATTAGAACTGTCTTCCTGGTCGAATTCAATGCGCTGGTCGGCGATGTGCACTTCGCTGTCGTTGGTGATATCGGCGACGATTTCGTACTGGTGGTCGGTGGGGATGAGGCGGTAGCCGTTGACGGACGGTAGCACCGGGTGGTGGGGCGAGCTGGGGGACGAGCCGGCCAGGCGGTTGGACGAGTCGTCCAGTCCCACGGGCGACGCAGCACCGGCAGACACGTCGGCCCCATAGGCGGCGCTTGGCGACAGTTCTGGCGACGGGGCCCGTGAGTTGGACGGCGTGCTCTGAGAAATAGGCGTCGACTGCAGCTCCAACGCCGCAAACGGCATCGGCAGACTCGTTTCCACGTCCAGGTCATGCTGGTACTGCTGGTAGTCGTGGAACTCGTACGATACCTCGCTGACGGTGGTCTTCACCGAGTGCGACAAGTTCAAAAGGTGTTTCTTGTTGGAGATGGGTGTGGCATCGGTGAGAAACTTCAATTTCTTCTTGGCCGGCACCGGGCACGGCGTGGAGTCCGAGTTGGAGAAGCTGAGCTTGAAGTTCAGTAGCAGTGTATCCGTGTGAGAGCACACTGACATCGAGTCAGATTTTTGTGATGGTTGTGAATGGGTAGACCGACTGTGGAACGACGTAGGTGTCACCATGTCCACATCCGACACATTTGCCCGCTTGCGCTTGCCGACAAACACAGGGCGGCTGGTCACGTGTGGAGTGTGGGCGGCATTGTCTTCTTCGTCGTCGCTCGAGTTCGAGTTGTCAATGGTATCATTTCCCACCTCCAAGTCTTCTTCGTGGATGTCGGAAAGATTGTTGATGTTCAAGTTGTCGAACTGCTTGATGGGCGATAGGAACGACGAATTGGTGGGGGTCAGTGAGCCGACGTTGCTGAGGTCGATGTCGAACGACGAGTTTGTGTCGTCATTGCTGGAGTCTTCCATGGCACATAGTTTGTTTACAAAGTACTAGGACATGAAACAACCGTGCGCGGTGGGGTGTGCGCGTACCGCACCGTGCCAGCTCGCACAGGCGCCCGGTCTGGTCATGTGCGAGCAGCACAGCGCCGCCACCGTCATAGCGGGTGCTAGATGGTCATCACCTATACAACCCACCAACCACCAATACCTATACGCCATATATACGAATACAAACACCAGCACCAAGAACCTCCATATATCCCCCTGACCCTGGTCACATTTTTCCACCCCTTTACTTCTTCCCGCAGTCCCACCGTTCCACCCCGAACTCAATCACCCAACTTCGCACCCACCATAACCTCCTGCACGCGTGTCTGTTCCACAATCTCAGGGATCGCTTATCACCATCAATCTCGCACATTTTTTCACTTCATCTTATCAACCTTCCCCTATTTTATGCAGATTTCCAAGAATCAAGCTGCCGAACTATCGTATATCGACATCACCCGCTTGACGTTTGAAGCCGTCATGCAAGTGGTGATCATCTGCCTTGCCGGCTTTTTTGCGGCCAAATCGGGCCTCTTGAACACAAACGGACAAAAAGTTATTTCATCCTTAAACGTCGACTTGTTCACTCCTTGCTTGGTGTTCAGCAAGTTGGCGCCCTCGTTGTCGTTCAAAAAAATGGTCGACATCATCGTCATCCCCATTTTCTTCTGCTTATCCACTTCCATATCGTATGTTTCTTCTCGCTTCATGGGCAGAATACTACACTTGAATGAGCCAGAAACTGATTTCGTGACGGCCATGGGCGTGTTTGGAAACTCAAACTCGTTACCGGTGTCGTTGACGTTGTCTTTGGCATATACATTGCCCGATCTTTTCTGGGACGATATCGAAGGTGATACCAGCGACCAAGTGGCTTCTCGAGGAATACTATATTTGCTTATATTCCAGCAATTGGGCCAGATTTTACGGTGGTCCTGGGGCTACAACAAGTTGTTGCGCACGCGATCCCATGAAGAATTGACAACCTACCACAACATCAAAAGTGACAACGAGTCAGCTGACGGCACCGGCTCCAGCGACAATGGAGAATCCCGGTCATTATTGGCAGACCAATCGTCCAGGATGTTAACGTTTACGCAGGCTGTAGACGACTCGTCCGACGACTCTTCCGACGACTCATCCATGCCACCACCAACGGGTGTGTGGGCCAAGATCCGGGAAAATAAGTATTTGCAGCAATTTTTGGGGTTCATGAATCCTCCACTTTATGCCATGTTAATTTCAATTCTCGTGGCATCGGTGCCCCAGTTGCAACGGTTGTTTTTCACCAAGGGAACGTTTATGTCCAACACCGTCACCAAAGCCGTCAGTCAGCTTGGATCGGTGTCGATTCCCTTGATCTTGATAGTGTTGGGTTCCAACTTGTACCCATCGAACGACATTCCACCTCCTTCCCGCCATTACAACAAGATCATTTTCGGGGCGTTGTTGTCACGGATGCTTCTCCCGTCGTTGGTGCTTCTTCCGGTGATCACGTTGTGTGTACGGTTTTTCAAAATCAGCATTTTGGACGACCCCATTTTCTTGCTTGTGGCGTTCATTTTGACGACATCGCCGCCGGCCATTCAGCTTAGTCAGATCACCCAGTTGAACGGGATCTATCAGAAGGAGATGTCGGGGGTGTTGTTTTGGGGATACGTGGTGTTTTCGCTTCCTTCCACCATATTTATTGTGGTGGTGAGTTTGGAGGTGTTGAAGTGGGCCAACCCATAGGGGCTTTGACCCCATAGGTTGAGGTCCTTCTGACCTTCAAAACTCAACTTCACCAAGCTGTTTCTGTACTACAACTATGAGAAACACCTTACGCATTAGTTGCAGCCATTATTCGCAGCAATGCGACAGTTTATAGAAATTCATTGCTTTAACTACCATCTGTGCCAACCGCCCTCTCAATTACCTCCCACCTCCCTCTCATTCGGCCTACCCTCCCACCTCCCGCTTCACACCTACAATCTTCCCTGTCACACCCTACCATTTTCCTGCTCTTCTCATGGCATCGCATCTCATCCCATCCCGCGGCCTCGTCCGCGCACCACAATTAGTCGCACTTTTCCATCTTAAACTCCTTCTTCTTTTGCAGAACCACCAGAACACCCGTTGTTAATCCCTAATCCCTCCCGTCGACCCCCATCCCCCGCTTCGTCGTTACTATGGTCAAAGCTAGAAAGTTCGCCGTGGTGGGCTCCCGGTCAGTTGGCAAGTCCTCCATGATTGTCCGGTTCGTGGAAGACTACTTTGTCGAATCCTACTATCCCACCATCGAAAACCAGTTCAGCAAAAACGTCACCTACAAGAACCAAGAGTACGAAATCGAGATTTTGGACACCGCTGGACAAGACGAGTTCAGCATGATAAATGAAAAACATTTGGTGGGAATTCACGGATACGTTCTCGTATACTCGGTTACATCCATTCAGTCGTTCCAAGTCATAGAAGTCATCCGTGACAAAATCCTTAACTCCACCGGCAGTGAGTCCATTCCCATGGTGTTGGTGGGCAATAAATGTGATTTAAATTATCAGAGACAAGTGGAAACATCTGAGGGTGAAGCGTTGGCCAAGTCCTTCAACTGCAAATTTTTAGAGACGTCCGTCAAGGACAACTTAAATATCGCCAAGAGTTTTGAGTGTCTTATCGACCAGATTGAGGCCATCCAAAATCCGGTGGCCAAACCTGAGCCCAAGTGTGTGGTAATGTAGTTTATGGGTTATGATGATAATGAAGCGGCCGGGCGCGCCCCAGAGCCACCGCCAGCCCGCACACCACCCGCGTGCCCCGGCCCCCCCCCCCCCACC